GGTCTTCTTTCTTGATTCCTAGCTCCTCTAGGGACCCAACGAAAAGGATGTTGAGGGCGCTCCCTCCATTGATGAGGACCTTCTAGAAGCGGACGTCCTTGATGATGGGATCCAGGATGAGTGGGAAACGCCCTGGGTATGGGATATCTGACCACTGATCGGCCCTGGAGAAGGTGATCGTGTGCTCCGACTAGTCGAGGTATTTGGGATCAGCGATGGGGCCGTCAAATGTAGCGACTGACATGACACGTCGGGCTACAAGCTTTTGCTCCTGCTTGTCTTCAGAGATAGCTCTCCCACTAAAGATGGTGGCGACGGTCTTGGTGGGGTCCTAGTAGGTTGGGCCCTTGTTCTTGCCTCGTTCTCTGCCTTGATCGTCTTCGGTCTCATTGTCTTCACGCCATGGCTTCTTTGATGATTCACCACGGAGCGCTGTCTTTAGGCCTCTGCACTCTCACATGGTGTGCTTGGCATCCTTGTGGATAGGGCATGTGCCATCTAGCAGCTTGCCAAAGTCAGCGTCGTAGGTGCGCTTGGCATGGGCGTTGACGTTGTTGATGGAGTTATCAGGCCGGTGATGGCAGCCTTGTTTGCCTCTCAAGCTATCTGGGCAGTCATCACACCAGAGCTTGCGATCATCTTGGCAGCGGTCATGGTCGTCGCAGCGGTCTTGGTCGCCACGGCAGTGGTTGCGGTTGTCGTAGCGCATGTTTTCACGACGGTCATCGTCGCGGTGTTGGTGGTGAGCAGAGCGGGCAGCTCGTTCGGCTTCTTCGGTGTCAGCATATCTGTTTGCTATTTGTATTAGTTCACCGATGGTTGTGGGCCTCTTGTAGTACAACTTGCCATGGAGTTGCTCATGCCGGAGCCCCTTGGTGAAAGCGGCGATGGCCTCGGCGTCAGTGATGTTGGGAACAGAATTTCTTGTCTTCGAGAAGCGCCTGATGAAGTCGCACAGGGACTCCTCAGAAGATTGATGAAGCTTCTCTAGGTCATACTTGGTGTCGGGCTGCTCGCACATAGCCATGTAATTGTCAATGAAAACTTTCTTGAGGTCATCCCAAGATCGAATGGAATTCTCCTATAGGCTGAGCCATTTGTTCACAGACTGGTTAAGCGTGACGGGTAGATAGTTCGCTATGACGTCTTCATCTCTGCCTGCGGCTCTTACGGTGATCTTGTATAGAGTTAGCCATTGAACGGGATTGGCCTTTCCGTCATAGGTGTTAACACCAAGAACCTTGAAACCCATAGGCCACCAGACGGCTCAGAGCCTTTTTGTGAAGGGGCAAAGTCCTGATACGTGGCGAGAAGTGGAGCTTGACGGGCACCAAATCCCTCATGTTTAGCATCGAATTGCCAGCGACGCTCCATCTCTGCTTCGTAGCATGTGGACCTGCTATTTTTGATGCGGCCATGGACATCTGTGCTGGCGTTGATGTGGTCATGAAGGTCACAAGGGGGTTGATTGACCTCCTGGTTGCGGTTGCCTCCCAGACCTCCCTGGGGGCGAGGTGGGTGGTCGTCGTGGCGTGAATGAGCTTCATAGTTGCCTCTGGATCCTCCATGGAGGTAGGGACCTCCAGCCGGAGGTCGGAGGCCCTCGGCGCCGTGATGCTGGCCTCCTCCATTGCGGTAGGAGCGGCGGCTACGAGCTAACATGGTGGAATATGATGGGACATCATTTCGGAACTCGTTGACTTGGACTTGCGATGCTATGATATTTGCTCGGACCTTCTTGACTTCTGGAGTGTGAGGGAGTTTGTTGAGCTCGTTGAAAGCAATGGCTAGATTGGCGCTTGGAGTCTAGTAGACTGGCTGGTCGCCCACCATGTCAAACTCCTCCTCTAGATTATGTTGATGGTGGGGCAGGCTAGATCCCGCACCCTCTATCCCAAAGGGATAGGGCTTCGGCGGGTCCTCCATCGGGGCCTCGTAGTTGGCCAAACGTAGGCCGGTAGCGGGAAGTGGTTGGTGCCACACCGTGCGCCCCTCTGGAGTAGCCGTGATCACCAGATCAGAATCTGACTGCCTAGAACGATGTAGCCGAGCAGGTCGCTCGGTTGCAACAGCTTGGTGATCTTGAAGTACGAGAAAGTCGTCGCTCGCTCTAGATTGATCTAAGACCGAATCCAAGAGGAGCTGACATTCCACTAAGCGGTCTGTGACCCGATCGATGGATCTGATCAGATCATCATTGCTGATGGATCTCCTAACCCAGCGGTGGGGCGTCGGGATCGGAGATGTCGTTACCGGTGTTGGCGTGATTGGCACAGGATGATCTTACACCGTCTCCACGATCTCCCCGTTGCCGTCGGGGCCGATGACCCAAGTCATGGATTCGACCGTGAAGATCTAGTCCGGCTTGGGAAAAGCCATGGAGCTCAGGAAAAGTGACCATCTGGTACGCCATGAATTCAGCACGCACACCCCCTACCTGGCGCGCCACTGTCAATGAAATACGTCCGGCAGTCTATCGAGGGGTATGCCCACGGTAGTAGATGAATTAGTGGAGGTGCACGTGAGGGAGCCAGATGGTGACACAAAAACGTGAGAGACAGCGATTAGACAGGTTCAGGTCGTCAGCTTGACGTAATACCCTACATCCTATGCCTTTGTGGATTGTATTATGTATGATCAGATCAAAACGAGGGGGTCCCTACCCGCCTTATATAGCTCAGGGGTTAGGGTTACAGATCGGTTATTTCTATCCTGATTGGTTTTACAAGATAGAAAATTATAGATATTATGGGATCTGGCATATCCGAGCAGGTTTCCTAGATCACCGAAGATCTTCACGTAGTCTTCTAGGCCGGGCCTCTGCTAGTGGCGTGGCCCATGCACAGTCTTGTGGGCTGGACCTCCCCTAGCGGCTTGGCCCATGTATAGCCCTAGTGGTATCGGGGGTTATATCCCACAATTTCTCCTGACTAACTTCTTAATAAGAGTGCTTGCATAAGCCTTTGAAGAGCTAGTGACCTGACTCTCCACCTTCTTGAGATACTCAATGACGGTGGTACATTCTAGGATTAAACCCCTTATTGATCCTCAATGGAGCCCTTAATCACCATCAAACACTTGCGGTTTAAACTATCCCACTTCGCACGATTAAGGTCGTACTTCATTCTCACTTCTGCATGGTCACGCTATCGAGTAGCGAAAGTTGCATCAGTCACATTTGCTTTCCTCACCGGGTCCACTGGCTTAGTGGGACACTGAGAGATAAGTGCTAGATCATTGTCGGACAGCGCAAGCGCTATCTCAAGCTTCTCTCGCCATACGTTATAGTTGCTTCCATTAAGAGGCAGAATGGACGAGATACACATCATTGGGTTATAGCCTGAAACAACGTCAGAGAAAGTGAGAAATAATTGACATAATAATTGCATGCCGTAATTTGATGTTGGTCAAAATTAAAACATAGAATATACTTCTACATTAATTCTACATCACCGTTGGGCAGAAATAAAACTAATGCATGGAAAAACTCATGAATAAAAAATTATAATATTGCTATTATCAACGTTGGTCAGACAATAACAATATTATAATCCAACTTAACCAAAAAAATCACTACACCTCCAATTAAAATTTCCCGTTGGTTCAAAATTAATTAGAGTATACACTTAAAACATAGCAGCAGAAACATGAAAAACTACATTTTCAGGAGCATTATGTACCAATCTACTCTCTAAACAATATACACGTTGGTGCAAAAATGAATCAATATTTAAACATGCAAAATTGAATAAAACATCAAATAAATGCTTCTAAAAAATATAAACGAAAATCATAAAGCATACTGTGCATTTGGGCCAGCAGAGCACAGCCCACAGCCCAGCAGCAAAAACCCGCGGCCTAGCAGTGCCTGCGCGTGCGGCGCCTCCCCCACGCCCAGGCCGCAACCTGGGCCTGGGCCGGTATTTCACTTCCCCGCCTGGGCCGAAATCGGTCCGGTCGCTGCTAGCCGTTGGATGACATCAGACGGACTTCCGCGCATTTCGCCGGATCAAAACCCCCGGCCGGCCGCGCTCCCCCAGAACCCTAACTCCATTTCTTCCCTTTCTTCACGCGGCGAGCCGAGCGGCGGCGAGCACCACTGGCGGCCTGAGAAGGATGGCGGAGCCGCCGCAGGTCCTTTCGCTGGCGCGCGCGTTCAACCGCGGTTGAGGGTGCCGCCGTCGATGGGTCCTGCGCCAGTGCCCGGAGCCCGAGCCCCCGCGCGCGCGACACGCCGTCGAACTAATCTTCCCACGTGGCGGTGGAGCGGCGGCTTGGGCTCATCTTCCTGCACGGCAGTGGTGGCCCGCATGCCAACGAGGAGTTGTCGAGCGGCGGCTCAAGGGCAGGTAAGCCCCCTGTCTACTTCTCATCTCGGGTTAGGGTTATGGTTTCTATCTGAATCGAAATTCGTTCATCTCCTTCTTTATTCTTCTCGATTTCTTCCCCAAGAACTAGGCTCATCCGATACCATTGTTATAATCTTAGCATCAACTAGGAGTAGATCAGCAGGTAAAAACTTCCTTAGCAGTAGTAAAACATCGACTCACAACCTAGAACCGGTAGATCTAAAAGGAAAAAGGGGAGAAGGAGAGAGGGGAAGCGTTACAGACCGTCGGATGGCTTGGCAGAGGAGGACGATGTATCCATGGCGAAGCTGTGGTGCAGCCCGGGTCAGTGGTGAAGTGGTAGCAGTAGAGTCCGGCGGCGGAATCGAAGTCGGTCGCAGTGTAGTGGCGGCGCGCGGCGTGGTGGCGGAGCTTTTCCATCGCTATCAGTGCTGCTCTATCGATCGGACTAGGGTTAGGATGTCGATGGGGAGTTGGCGGCTGCGGTGAACCTCGTACCCAGTGCCCTGGCCCCCACCTTCCTCTTTATAGCGCTGCGCGACGGGAGTCCACCAACCATGATTGGGTTGGGCGCCCCTGATCAGGGCACGAATCAAAGGCCCAAATTAGCCGTTGGGCCAACTTAGTGGAGATCAACCTACCATGTACCACATGATCCGCCGCTGCTACTACCACTGCCCGCCGTGGTTCAGTACCGGTCTCGTCACCCTCGTCCGCTGCATCCTCTGCCCCGACCCGGCGCGTCGTATCACCATACCGCAGATGAATGAAAATCTTTGGTTCAAGGACTTCAAGGAGATCCCACGGAGCCTTAGCGAGCCCGAGCTGCACGACTCTGACTCCGATTCTGACGATGAGTCGACGGCGTCATCTACATCGTCATCTACATTGTCGGGGGATCCGGCCTCACCGATCGCGTGCCCCATGCATACCTCGGTGTCAGCGCCGTCGCTGACCCCACTCGAGAGTACGGGTAGCGTCGCCGTCCAAGCCCAGCCACATATGCGCCGTCCCAAGAGTCTGAACGCGTTTGACATCATCGCGTCCTCGCCGAGCCTCGACCTGTCCGGGTTGTTCCAGGACCCGAGCGAGCAGATGCGGTTCGTGTCCGCTGCGCCCGTGTCCAAGATCATCTCCAAGCTGGAGGACATCGCTGGGCACGTCAGCTTCACGGCGCGCACCAAGGAGTACAAGGTGAGCATCGAGGAGACGAGGAACGAGAGCCAGGGCGTGCTCCTTATCTCTGCCAAAGATCTTCGAACTCACGCCTGAGCTAGTCATGGTGAAGGTTTGCAAGAAGGCTGGCGACACCACTCAGTACCGGCAGTTCTGGAACAATGAGCTCAAGCCCGGCCTGCGTGGCCTCGTCGACGGACTGCCGGAGGACAACGGCGACTGCATGGCTTCCATCTCTGGATGATCGTAGTATCTTTAATTTTATTTCAACAGTTCTATATTAGTATACTAGTTTATTAAGAATTTTGACAGTGTTAATGCCTTGATAGTGTGTGTCATGGCACTGTTGTTAATTAGGTTGCTAAAAATTCTAGGCATGTGCTTTCTCATCCAGTACTAGGGCAATTAAGAGCATGGGTTAACTGGGCAAAAGCCAAGTGTTTGTTGTTTTATGCTCAAAACAAGAACTGCTAATTGTTCATATTGATATAAGGCTAGCATAAAGCATTAACTTTACTTTGACCGGAACATCGACAACCATTGTACTGAAAAGTGCACACGCATGGTATGTTACATAGTTTGCATATGGAATCGATCCAGCGTGTCTGTGTGTGCTAGAATATATTTTGCAGGCCTAATACATTAGGATCCATTACCAAGGCCATAGGTGCCGCAAGCCACATTTTATCATTGTTAGAATTACCAAGGTCATGGATAACCTATTTGTAGTACGACAGCTTGCAAAAGGCATGTAGATTGGCAACCATGGCGCTGTTTGATGCAGTGCCTGAGAAGAAAATATAGAACTGACAGCGGAGTGTATAGTCTTGCTGTATATACCTTCCTTTGCTTCCAGAGTCTGGCAAGCTTAAACACCTTTTAACCTTCCTGTCAGTTTTCCAGGCCAGGTCAACCGCATCAATAAATGCATATATAAAGTGAGATGCTGAACTGACTTGATAAGGACATATTGATTACCGTTGACAAATTGGGAAGGCATGTGCTTTAACTTCAAGGCTGATGGATAGAGCAGTGCACTAAGGCATCAATGACATAGCTAACATATAGAATTTTATTGGGATACTGTATTGCAAAACTAAAGAAATTGGAGATGGAGAAGACTTAAAGAATAGTCAACAGTGATAACTATTCTGTAATCGTGAGTGGCATAATTGGGATTTAGTGTGTGATTGCATTACCTTGAGGCATCGCCGAGTTGATCACCATGCAAGGTGTTCGGTTAGTCGCCTCTGACTTTATTCTTTGAATAAACAATCTAACAATGATGCCTGTAGCATGAGAATATAGCATTAAAGATTGATGGGATGGCCGAGTATGTAACAAAAACCATTACAGTGTGTTAGACGTAATATACTTCTTGCAGGCTTAACAGAATCATCTTGTGGGGGTGGAGTTGCCGAAGGGGCAGGTGTAAATGGTCAATTGTTCTGCAAAAATGAAAACATGAGTAACAAAGAAGCTCACTTTGCATTTTGTGCAGTAAACAGGTAAGGCAAGCATCAATCAAGTGGACCTGGTCAGGGTTACAGGCTGAAGTGATGGATTGGATTGTCAAACATGCGACATATAAGACCAAGAAAAAAGAAAGCAACTGGTTAGCCGTCATGTCCGTGTAGTATTTAGCAGCGAAGTAGTGAGCTTTTTGACCCCATAGAGCAATCATAACAGTGTCTCTGTAGTATGGTAATGAAGGGAATAATAATAAAAGAAGCACATCAGAAAATACTCTACTAATCACAGTAGGAAAAATAGCACATGCCTTTTCTGACAACATACTTTCCATCGGCAAAGTTCACATTGCGAAGTGGGCTTTGCTCCTGTCTTGGAGCTCTGCAGTCTTACATGAGTGCAGCCTGTGAGAACTGAGAACACCATTGGTACCTGCATATACAACTTATATAACAAACATCTGGAAGAGATGGGTTTCTCAGATAGAGGTTTGATATAGTTGAATATCCATATAGAAAACTACAGTAAAATTTAACTAATATTTTTATAGAAGCATAGCAGCATAAAGCAATAAACAAAGTAATCTATATACCTCAACAATATTAAGTAATACCATTCTATTTTTCTATGCTTCAGATGGGGATATTGAGTATGCATACTCAAGAAAATTAGGAGGGATGATCTTGATCTCATGCACCTTTCTATGGGCAGTCTTATCAAATAAGGGTGGTCAACAGTTATGTAAGATGGACACGAGCATTGACAACCTGAAAAAAATTGTTGTGGTATCCTTCTTTTAGATGGGGCATTAACATTGTTATCTATTGTTCCATTGATGTACCTAGTGAGAGGAACAGTTCACAGGTAAATGGTAATCAATTGTATTGACGACAACAAAGAGAAAAATTTCTTGTTCATTCCTGTATAGCCTAACATACTCTCTGAAGAAAATAAGAAAGAGAATGACCCTAACAATGTGCCTTTTAGAATAAGCTCAGGTATTTCAAATTGTTGTTGAGGTTCGGCAAGTCATCTGCGACAACCTTCAGCAGCAAAGAAACAAAAACGTGTTTGGGATGCTTGTTGTTTTTGCATTTGAAAGTGTGTATGTGCATACGTGAAGGGCAGCAAAGCCATATGTAAACACATCAGTGAGAAACACGGCATCCCTCCAGCACTGCTACCTAAACCAAGCTTAAGCATTGGGGTGGAATTAAATTAACAAGTGGAGAACGAACCAGGCTGTATTGGTTGAGGCAATGAAACGAACACATGGCCCGAGTTTTTTATTTTTAGCCTTTTTTTTGAAATTTTTTCACAAATATGTCCCTGGAGGTAAGATTTTAAAATTTGGACCCTTAGCTCAACGCCATCGTCGCTGGCGCCGAGCTTACACTGCTCGGCGCCATCGTTGCTGGCGCCGATGTTTTGGGCTCGACGCAGACATGGCGGTGACTTGGCAGGTAGCTCGGCGCCGTAGATCCTGGCGCCGAGCTTGGCGCCATAGATCCTGGCGCTGAGCTTGGCGCTGTAGATCTTGGCGTCGAGCTTGGCGCCAGGATCTATGGCGCTGAGGTGGTGTTTTAACCCCACCCCCAACCTTTCTGCTCGAGCCTACTTCCTCTTCTTTCTCCTCCGTCTTGGGTTTTTTCTCTCCCCACTTCGCCCTACCTCACGAATTGACATATTGGACCTTGGAAACTTTGATTTGATCCATATATCTTTGAGGGCAAGGTATCCTCGCTCCCCTCCAAGTTTTTTTCACATCGATTCGGTATATATTAGTCGGATTTTTCAACCTAAGAATCGTCATTACTTAGGGTTTCATGTAATTTTTAATATTTGTATTATACAACCGTAGGATGCCAAGGCGTGGAAAAGCTAGCAAACCAAGGTAATCGCAGCGCATGTTGTTATGTTATGAGTTCATTGTTGTGCATTAAATGGGAAACCCTAGGTTTAGGGTTTAATGTTAATTGCTTTCGGTTCTTGGAACGAAATTGGTTGTATTGTAGTTATGGCCGGATGACCGAAAATGCCTTCGACCCATTGCCTCTGCCTAGTGGTGTTCCAGTGCCCATGTGCTTTTGCGGCGATCCTTGCAAGGTAGCCAAGTCCGATGAAGAGGACACGTATAGGCAGAGGTATTGGATGTGTTCCAATTTTGCGTTTGAGCCTACACTTCGTCAGTGCCGCATTAACGAGATGGTGAGGAATTGATGTTTGTGTCATATGGCATCTTGCATGATTTTTTTGTTTTGTAGCAATTGCATTTTTTGCAGACCCCTCCACCGCTCTATGATTTTGAGTAGTGGATCGACACTGAGATCAAGCCTAAAGACAAGAAATGGATGCAGAACTGTTGCGGTGGGAGGCAGAGGACAAGGAGATGATGGAGAAGAGACACGGAGAGGAGGCTGCAAAAAAGGAGCACAAGGAAGAGGAGGAAATGAGGTGTGTTGCTGCGTACAGGGAGGAGAGAGAGAAGAAGCTTGAGTGTGCATGTCGAGCGAAAGCAGCGATGGAGGAGAATCCCGATGCCCTGAGGAAGGAAAAGTGGCCTCGTTGCACTCAGTAGTCTCCATGACTTGCTAATTCTATGGTTTATTCACGAACAATGTTGTCTACTGTCGGCACGTACTTCTAGTATTATTGTGTTTTTTAATGTGGCATAGTATTGGACTTTTTATTATGTGGTTGTTTTTATTATTTGTGGTCATAATATTCAGTATGATATTACGGACGTAGTGAAATATGATCACGTGCTGCAAACACAACCTAATAAAGTAGGGCATTATATAATTCAACACACAAAACACATGAAATAGCATGTGAGAACATGTACCGAACTAGGGTACAGAGTTCCTTCGACTAAACCTAACATGCCTTATGTAATTAAACCAAACAACAAACACATGGATATGCCATGTGAATAAGATAGGGTCGTCCTACTAATGTGGCCACATAGCAAATTGTGTTGCACGTTCTCCACAGTAGCCTCCCATTGTTGTTGCTGGTCGTGGCAGGGGTGATGGCGGAGGCCCCTTGTTCTTGTGGTTAGGGCAGGTGCAATATGGATCATTGCAGAGTGCCTCCTGTGAATCGGCACCATTGTTGTTGTCGTCCTGTCCTTCGTCCTTGTAACCGTTGCTAACTTCCCTTTCTAGATCGAAGATACGGTCGTGCAGGTAGTAGATGTACTCAGCATGCGGATAAATAGGTCGAGGATCGACCCACCTAGTGAACCCATAGTTTTCTTCGGCCAAGGAAGACTGCAATAATTATGTCATGTAAGTTGTATAGAAGAGGGACATATTGAAGAAACAAATAGTAATAGCAATTACCCATGCTCGCGGGCATTTGAAGAAACGACGACCTCCATCTATTCCCTCGGTGAACATCTACACTAGGTAGTCCTCACCATGCATGCATTTTAGCCACTCTTCTTTCTATTCATCGTATCCTCTCAGTGGTGCCTCTTTGGTGAAATCACTTTTTCTCTCAACTGGGAACCTCTCATAAAGAGCTTCCTCAAAGAAATCGGGACCAAGAGAACCCTCCCACATAATGGTAGTTCCCTTCCCCTTTCCTCTCCCTCTAGATGACCCTCCAGACATTGGTACTGC